CCACCTCGGCCTCCCAAAGTGCTGGGATTACAGGCGTGAGCCACCGTGCCCGGCCCCCGCCCCCCCATTGGTTTTTTTTTTTTTTAAAAGAAGACAGGGTCTCTTGCTCTGTTGCCCAAGCTCGGGTACAGTGGTGCAATCTCAGCTCACTACAGAGTTGATTTTCTGGCCTTAAGCAATCCTCCCACCTCACCTCAGCCTCCTGAGTAACTGGGACCACAAGCGTGTGCCACCATGTCTGGCGAATTTTTTAAATTTTTTGTAGATACGAGGTTTCACTATGTTGTTCTGGCTGGTTTTGAGCTCCTGGCCTCAAGCTATTTGCTTGCCTCAGCCTCCCAAAGTGCTGGGATTACAGGCATGAGCCATTGAGCCTGGCCAATAATTATTCCTTAAAAATGAAAATAATAGGGGTTTTAAAAATCATTTCTAGTGGTTCCTTAAGAGGGGTGAATCACCCCCCTGCCCTGATAACATTTGGCAGTGTCTGTTGACAGCTTGGTGATGGGGTGCTGTGGTGCTGTCAGCACCTGATGGGTGAAAATCAGAGATGCTACTCAACACCCTGTCATGTGCAGAGTAGCTCCCCCAAGAATTTTCCAGCCCAGAAGTTCAGTTGTGCTGAAGTTGAGAAATCCTGTTTCAGATTTTTTCAGTGTATTTATTCTCCTCCTAACATACTTAGCTTCCTTCGCAAAAATATTAAAAAACTTAAATTTTCTTTTCTTTTTTTTGAGACGGTGTCTTGCTCTGTCCCCTGGGCTGGAGTGCATTGGCAGAGTCTCAGCTCACTGCACCCTCTGCCTCCCTGCCTCAGCCTCCCAAGTAGGTGGGATTACAGGCGCCTGCCACCACACGTGGCTATTTTTTTGTATTTTTAGTAGAGACGGGATTTCATAATATTGGCCAGGCTGGTCTTGAACTCCTGACCTCAAGTAACCCGCCCGCCTCGGCCTCTCAGAAGTGCTGGGATTACAGGCGTGAGCCACTGCCCTCAGCCAAAAGCTTGAATTTTCTTTGTCACGTCATACACGGTGGTATCAAGAATAAAGATAGTTGTGCGGGTCATTGTAGATGTGCATTTGCAGCAAGTACATACTTCTAGATGCATCATAGGATACTGCACACTGGCTATTTCACTGCACACAGATTTTATTCCACATTGTCTGGCTGCTCATCCCAGCATGGAAGTAGCAGTGGCTGGATGCCCACTCTGCAGTGTCCTCCGCTTTCCGCGCAGTGTCTGGTTGAGGCTTCCAGCAGCCTTGTGGTGTAGTTCATGTCATTAAGTCCATTTTACAGATTAGAGCCGTAAGTCTGAATGAGAGATTTATCCAAAGTTAATTACCCACTAAAGGGCAAAAGCAGGAAAGGAGGGTCTCCTCCTCCTGGATCCTAAACTCTTTGCCATTGCTTTTTTTTTTTTTTTTTTTTTT